CGAGTACCAAAAAAAACGAGAGAAGAACTACACGGGGGGAGGGGGTATAAAGCCCACCCGCTGTACATTATATATATATATATATATATATATATATATATATATATGACATATATATATCTATAGCTCTTTTATGAGATGAAATATGAGCGATTAGCAAGTGGCTTTTTGTCCCTTACCTATGCTACTGTAGCTAGCAGGTTCATCCTTGCTGGTTGCCTGATTGTTGTCAACAAGGCGTCCAATACCTATATTTGTGCGATTAGGAAAAGTTAGAAAAGGTGCTGTCACATGTGTACGTCCATTTGAACATGAACTGTTAAACCATTTGAAAGCAATACCTCCATTTGTTCTATTATCCGTGTTTTTCCCTCTTTAGTCACACACATTGCTTTATAGAAATATTAAGCACTTAATGACAAGTTGTAGGACCTTTTTGAAAAGCAGCATTCAAATCATAATTTAGAATATGAACGTTAGCTTTGTACTTTCCAGTACAGCCCTATAATTACCTAACAAGTACGCTGCACAGTTTGTGAAAGTGGGGGGTCAATAGGAGCCCCATTAGCAGGTTAAACTTGCTCTGGTGTGAACAAAACACAGACCTTTTCGGGGTTTCCCACCAGATATTATAGTTTGAGAGCTCTTCAGTTCTCACCTGCTATGATCGCAGCATGACACAAACATGTCGGGGTTGGCAATGGGCTGCAGGTGTCTGCATTCCTGTGCCTCCGCAGTCATTTCTGTTTTGTAAACTTGAACGACTCAGCACCTGGCCAAGTAATCATGCAGTCTAGGAGCTATCTGCTTAATACTCTATTATTACGTCTCCTTCTTTGACCCTCTGTGACTCCTGCTACTACTACCAACCTCCTCTTTCCTGCAGTTACTATCATTTCGAACACAATCACCGATTAATCTGTTCAAATCCGTCTCCTCCCACCCTCCAGGTCCAATTGAATGTCTAATCTTAGCCGGTGTTGTGTGCAAGTGGAAAGGAGGACAGCTTCGTCCCTCTTTAGATCCTTGTCAACCACACACATCTGCATTGATCGGCCCTCCTTTTGAGCCGGAGGGACGGGTGGCAGCAATACCAAGAGGTTGATCCCTATTGATCACACCAAGCCCTCCGTGTTCACTCGTCCTTCATTTGATAGTGGGCGGCTCCTCCGACTGAAATAGGCCAGTGAAGACATCATGTTTGATTGTGCCCGAGACCTGTGTGTCTGCTTTAGATACAGTTATGGTTTAAAGTGAAACCCTCTTCATCCATTATCTGGCTTGTTATAACCTGGACAGTTCTGCAATCGAGCAGCAAATGATGTGTAACAACAAGGATATCGTTCTCACTTGGGGGGCCATGAAACAAAATGTAAACACAGATGGAAGTAATGCGTTCATTTTATAGGGTTTGGGAAAGGCTGGAGCTCCTCAGTTTTGTTGGATGAACACATCTGTCCTTTTAAAGTTCAACAGTTTGGGCTGCAACAGTATTGATTTACAATTTTGTTGGCAGCATGGCATACGCTGAAATATCTCAACAAATATTAAGTATATTGCCATGGAATTTGGAAAAGATATACATGTGACCTTTAGGATAATATGTAAGTCAACACATGACCTTTGCTCTATCGCCATAGACTGAGTATTAGAAGTTGACAGTGTGGCTTCACTTATTGGTTTGCAAATGACGCCTTTGATAGCCTCATGTTTGGTGTGTGAGCAACACCCTAAAGCATACCCGTCTTTATCGTCTCTCTTACTCTAAATGGGACCATCATTCTCAAAAGGAACATTACTCTGTATCGAAGAACATTTCCACCGAGACCAATAA